AGAGAGGGGCATGATGGAACTTGAGGGTTAATTAATTTTTAAGGAATGGAGGAACTAGTAAAGAACAATAAAAGTGCCATATAGAAAAATCATTTCAGCATGCATTAAAAACCTAAATGTGAATCCCAGAATTATAAAGGTCATCAGTGAAAAAATAGGGACAAATTTAAGGGCTCTAATCCAGGGCACACACAGATTACCAAACATTGCGAAAATTACACAAACAAAAGCAGACAAAATAGATGATTGGGATATTCTAATAATTAGAAACTTATGTGCATCAAAGGACTTCACCAAAAGAGTAAAAAGGGAGCCCACAGAATGGGACAAAATCTTTTACAATGACACATCAGACAAAGGACTAATTTCTGAAATCTATAGGAAACTACAACATCTCTACAAGAAGAAGACAAGTTACCTATTTAAATAATAGGCACAGGTCATGAACAGACACTTCACCAAAGATGATATTCAGACAGCCAAGAAACATATGAAATGTTCACCATCATTAGCTATTAGAGAGATGCAAATCAAAACTACATTGAGATATCATCTCACAGCAACAGTAAAAGCAAAGTTCAAAAATGCAGAGGATAATAAATGCTGGTGAAGATGTGGAGAGACTGAGACCCTCCTACATTGCTTGTGGGAATGCAAAACGGTCCAACCATTCTGGAAAACAGTATGGCGCTTTCTCAGAAAGTTGGAAATAGAAATACCATATGATCCAGCAATTCCTCTACTTTGTATATATCCACAAGAAATGTGAGCCATAACATGAGTAGATATATGCATACCAATGTTCATAGCAGCACTGTTCACAACAGTGAAAAGATGGAGACAGCCTAAGTGCCCATTAATGGAAAAATGGATAAGCAAACTGTGGTACATACACACAATGGAATATCATGCTACCCTAAAGAATAACAAGGAAGCTGTAAGCCACCACATGACATGGATGAACCATGAGGACATTCTTGTTGTTGTTGTGAAGTGCCATTGAGTCAGTTCTGACCCATAGCAACCCTGTACAGAGTTTCCAAGGGGCAGCTGGTGAGCTTGAACCACCAACCTTGCAGTTTAAATGGCTTTGCAGTCTGGCGCATTAACCCACAGGTGAAATTAGTAAGTCATAAAAGGACAAATATTGCATAAGACCATTATTGTAAAAGCGTAAGAAAAGATACCCATACTAAAAGGGGAAAAAATGTTTTTCTTTATTGGTTACTAGTGGGGGTAGGGTGGGGAGTTTTGGGGGAGGTGGAGGGAGATGATGGTACAGCACAGGGTAGGGGGAGGGGGAGGGAGATGATGGTACAGCACATAGTTCGGGTGCTGGTGAGGGCAGTACACAAGAAGGGGGAGAGAGTAGAAGAACACGATAGATAGGGGAATACTGAGATAGGTGTGTACGGGCTAAATCGGACAGAGGTAAATAGTGATGGATGGTCAAACTTGGAACAACAGGGTTCTGGGATACAGGGCTCAAGGCATAGTCTGAAGAGGGGAAATAATACTAAGATGCTTGACTGTCTTATGAATATTGGTTTCCCTTACCTACTATTATAAAATAAACACTTGAGTTGGATAGAAAGGAATGTCAGGAAACATGATTATGGAAAACTTGTAAGTCCATCTTCAGCCTATAATTGATTAGAATACCTAAAAGGGGTTCTAGAACTTGCCCAGTGAAATGGACTTCTTGAGGAGCCTTTGCAGTGTATAGGACCTTAGGTGGAATCCTGAGCCCCATCCAGAACCTTCTGAGGTGGGACATTCCCACTACAAAGGACAAGCAGATCAGTCTGGAACAGCTAGAGTGACAGAAGATACATCTTCAAAGAAAGATCATCAGGAAAAAACCAAAGCAAAAATGGCAGTATGATTGGCTACTACAAGAATAAATAAGCAAGTTGTTCACTGGAAAGCCATCAAAGCAAGCAATCAAGCCCCCTCAGTACAAACACAGCTCTAAGACTGAAACTCAAAGGGAACAAACACATGAGCTATCATGTTAGCTTCTGGTGACCACATTGTTGAGTAGAAGAGGGAGAAAGGCAGCAATGAAGAAATGGGCTGAGTTCAACCACGTTCCATAGATTCCCGTTGACCTGGAGATAAGAGAGAGAGAAGAGGAAGGGCTGGTTGGTCCAAAGCATGGTGAAACGTGGGGACTACCTGAGCCCATGGACAGGGCCATAGCCACAGAGGGCTAGAGCTGAGAGTGAAGCATCCAGCTTATATGAAGTGAGGGGAGATGCACAAGAACACCCAAACTTGCAGGTAGTACCCATTTGACCTATCCTTGATGGCTTGATAATCAGAACTCTACTAGAGGAAGATTTAAAAAAAAATTTTTTTTTGATAAAGGAAACTAGGATAAATTGCTACAATTTGATGTACCTGACCTATACTCATGGAGGTAGAACCTGTAAATACCAACGAGGGAAGGAGTCTTCACATCAAATATCAATGGTATTCCCTCTGTACACAGGGTAGATAGGGATGGGCAACTTAGACATTGGCTACCTAAAATGGGGGGCAATAAAGGCACAAAGTGACTGGATTACCAGGTTTCAAGAGGGAGTTTAGTTTAAGAGTGTGTGGGAAAATACAGAATCCCCATTGAATAGTTTTCATCTTGTCTAGATGGGTCTGGTAAAAAGAGATGGGGATAAGATTCTCATGAATCAATAGTGAGTAATTATCATGACTAATTGTGACTGTCACAATTGTAAAGGTAGAAGTTTTATAAGAAAAACAGGGGAGTGGTTAATCTTACAGTCCAGAAACAAAGGACCGTAGGATCATAAAGGGAAAAGAGCACAAGTGGAATGCGAGATCTTATCCAGAGAAGCAGGGACACCAGAGATGGAGGCAGAGATGGGGACATGGAGAGAGGTAGCAGCTGAGGACTCTAGATTCATGGGAAGAGAGGGACTGAGAGCTGGCAGTTAGGAGGCAGACTTGCAGAATGTGCCCTTTGGTGGTGTAAATTATTATATATGCTTGAGTGTTTAAAAAAAAAAAAAAAAAAAAGCTAAAATGAATAGAGAGAAATACTGTTAACCGATGGTACATGGTGGGAATTATAATCAGTGTAATGAAAGTATATGATTTGTTGAATATAAAACTGATCTTCTGCCCTGTAAACTTTCACTCAATTCACAATAAAAACTTAAAAGAAGAAGAAGAAGAAAAGTAAACAGGAGGATAAAAACAGATATAGAAACTATTGGAAGATGGAGAAAGATAAGTTAGTTAGTAATGGCAGTTGTCACAGAGATTCAGGAAAGACTGAAAACTTGGCAACAAAGTTGGAGGAGGCCAGGGGAGAAATTAAGATAAGATAGATTAAGCTTTACAAAAGGTGAGAAAAATAGAGGAAATTCATGCCCCACACCTGAAGGAGAAAGGTCTGTTTTTGAGAAAGAGGTGCACAGTGGGCTACGATTCTTGATTGGAAACTTGAAGATGTCTAGAGGCATTGTAGAAAGATGATGGAGAACTATCAGTGTCTTGGTACACAGATTGCCAAAAGTTAGTGTGGGCCAGGTAAGAGTTGAAGATTATTCATTTATTTTGGCAATAATTAAATGGTTGTATGATTCTCTTCAGTAGTATCCCAGACTACCAGATGTAGAAGCCAGAATGACAAATGATCAACATGACTTAGGTTATATACTGGCAGAGCAAGAAGTGCCAAGGTTATTGGGGATTGGGTATAGACTGATACAGGTAGGATTTGGAAAGAAAGAAAGAGAGAGACTGAGAGAAATAGAAGGCTAGAAGCCCAAAGAAGCCCAAATAAGGGATGTAAGAGACCTGGAAGAATGGTAGGTTGCAATTAAAGATGCTTTATTTAGAACATCAAAATTTCTCTTATTTTTTATTTTTAACCTTTTATTGTGAATTGGGTGAAGGTTCACAGAATATATCAGTTTTCCATTCAACATTTCATACAAATTTTGTTTCATGTCATTGATGGCAATTCCTACAATGTAACATTACTCATTCCACGCCTACCCTGTGTTTCCCATTTCCATTCCTCCTTCTTTTCTAACCCTTCCTGCCTTCTGAACTTTGTCCTTGGATGAATACTGCCCTTTTGGTCTCAAATGGTTGATGGTTCTAAGGAATGCACACCTCCCTAGTATTATTGTAGAACTTCAGAACTTCTTGAACCTTCAGAATTTAGAATTTGGAGAGATGAAACATCCAGCATGTGGCCATAGGATTAGTGGATGAAATGGAGTATGGAAGACTAGGTGAAGGTTAGATCTTTGAACAGCCACCCATAGTGTCACTCCATACACCTTGATGTTCCCCAGCCTCAGGGAGGCAGATGGAACATTGAGACCAGGAGATTCAATGAATGTTCAAGAGTTGATAGGTAACAATAGCATGGAGCAGAGAGAGCAAGAGAATGGTGAAGCTCAAAGGAGCATGGGTGATTGCATGAGATGGGGGAAGAAATACCCAGAAAGCCTAAATGGGGAGCAAGGAGAATGCTAGATTGATTCTGGTGGAGCTCTTCCAAATTCTAGTAGATCCCAACATGTGACCACTGAAACAGACTGTAAGTCAATGTTTACTGGAAGAGAAGAGGTTAAGGAACTGTCCAAGTGAACAATCAGGTCAAATGGATGAAGAAAGGTGGTGAGTGGGGGGAAAGACCTTGTAACTGCTAAGTAAAGGGAGCCTGAATTGCTTTTTGGACTCTGCCAAGTAATGGGAAATAAATTTAACATAAGAAAGAATTATATGTGTTTCTATGAAGAACTACATTTTAATTATAAAAATAAGAAAATTTTGTAATGATTTCTGTAAGAAACATTTTTAACATTTGGAGCTTCTGAATTTGTTCTTTGTTTTAAAATTAGGTTTGTAATCTGGCTAGATTGCTGGTATTTATAAATCAATTTATTATTTTAAATAATTTTTAAAATATGAATGCTAATACTTGTGTGTGTGTTTTGTTTTGTTTTGTTTTTTAACAGGTTCTTAATCAAGTACCAACTGTATGGATCTAGGACAGGTTTGTCCCATGGCCTGCTCTGAACAGTCTGCTGTCTAATAGAAAATTCCGTTGGCAAACCATCTCTCTATTGCCTTACATAGAAAGCAAAGAAGATGGATCAATTGAAGAGCCATCTGACTGTGTGCTTTTTACCTTCCGTGCCCTTTTTAATCTTAGTATTCACTTTAGTGAGTGCTAAGAATGTGACTAACAGCCCTTTAAATGGCACTGACACGGTCTTGGGATCTGTGCCTGTAATCCTTGCCACCATGGACCATATCATAGTAAAGGAAGGGAACAGTGCCTTGATTAATTGTAATGTTTATGGCATCCCTGACCCACAATTCAAGTGGTACAATTCCATTGGCAAGCTGTTGGAAGAAGAGGATGAGAAGGAGAAAGGAGGAGGTAAGCTTTAAAATTGTGTTAGATGTCATAATGTGTAAGTAAGGTTTTTGGAGCCAGCATTGTCAAGCACCCTTAATGCTAGTTGTTCTTACACATAACAGTTTTAAAGATCTCTCTTCTCTTTTGAAAGAGAAATGTATATCCTTAAGGACTGAGAGCAATAATTAATTGATCACTTTTTTCACTCATTGGACTCAGAAGACAAAGATGAAACATCAAAGTCCTTTAAAAGGTCTCTTAGAATTTTGTAATATATATACCCAACATTATACCGACAACTGTAAAATGAATTTCTCTGAGTATATGTCTGAGTTATAAAGGGATTTTGTTAGCTTGAATAAATAGTATAACTGTTGTTTATAGTTAAATCTGTGTTTAATCCACCGACTATGGATTTAAAGGCCACACTTTTTGTAAAAAGTTTCTGTGGATGGTCTCAGTTACCAGCTCAGGATGGTTATGTGCTCCTGTAAACGTGGCTGAAGTTCCCAGGCTGCTGCAAATGTGGCCAGAAGGCAGGGCCAAGAAATAACATGTAGCAATAGGAGAATGCTTGTTTTTTAATGAGAAAGTTATTGGCTTTAGCCAGTGGCCAACCTCCTGGCCAAAAAGTGTGAATCATCCTTCCAAGCACCTAACTTACTTCAGAAAAGACTTCAGCTGGTGAGAGGCTTGGGTCATTGGGAATCAATATCCTACCACCGAACACATCTCTTGTTTTAGATGTGAGAAGTGATTGTCTGGGAATCCAGGCCTGATCTGATTATCCTGAAGAAGTGAATGTACTTTCCTAAGCATTTAATGTATGGAATTAGAGATGGAAGAGTAAAAAGACCATTTTGCTGAAGTAGCAGGTTATTAATTTCTACTGCCTTTTTGTTCATATTGTTTTCTTCTTTCCTCAAACCTTTAGCCAATAAATGATCCCCAGAGGAATTTCTGCTCTGGGAAAGCCTATATTTTTCTTTCCTCATTTCATCTTAATTGCTCGGAAAGGAATAGAGGCTAATGCCTCTTGTCTCCTCAGAAGCTAAGTGAATGGAGTTTTTGGGTTTTTTTTTGCAATTACACACTCTGGTTCATAGTTGTGCTCCTTTTGGCCAAGGCTACTAGAACCCTAACTCCCTGTTATGTGGGTTTCACTGCAGTGCTATCACGGCTGGTTGTACAGCGTAATCAGGCTACTTCTTCCCTTTAGTCAAAATTATATATATTATGGACTATCTGTATGTCCTGGCATGGCACTGTGGGTTAATGCGACAGACTGCAAAGCCATTTGAACTGCAAGGTCGGCAGTTCAAGCTCACTAGTTGCTCCTTGGAAACCCTATACAGGGTCACTATGGGTTAGAACTCACTCGATGGCACTGAACAACAACAACAATATGTATGTTTGTATATATGTCAGCCCAGCAGAGGGGAGCTCTTTTCCCACCAAGTACAACGTATTGGACTGTAGAGTTTTTAGATTAGAATGAACCTTAGAGACAATGTAATCCAAATCCCTCTTTTACTAAAATTTGCTCAAGGTCCTGCTGTTCAGTGACAGAACAATGACTTTTTATCTTTTTGTCAGGAGGGATTAGTCCCTGGAGAAGGACATCATGCCTGGTAAAATGGAGGGTCAGAAAAAAAAAAAAGTGAAGATCCCCAAGAAGATGGGTTGACAGAGTAGCAGCAACACTAGGTTCAAGCATAACAACCATTGTGCAGAGCTGGGCAGTGTTTCCTTCTGTTCTGCATAGAGTTGCTATGAGTCGAAACTGACTCAGTGTCCCCTAACAACAACAACAACCTGTAGTCCACAACTAGTTTCCATTCCTACAGCTCCTTCTTCTCCAATGCTAAGTCGAAAGGAAATGATATCACACTTGTGAAGAGTAAGCAGTACCCATGGCAACATATATACATACACACAGGCCACTGCCCTTCTTCAGGCTTCCAGCAATGATGGGCCGCTGCTAGGATGACTGAATTGAGGGGAACATGGACTCCTCATGGACCCTGAAGAAAAGGTTATCCCTGGGTATTAAAAAGTCAGGGCTGGATACTGGACCCTTGAGTCCTAGTGAGTAAGAAAGCCATAGGGACAGCATAGTGCTGGGGCCTGTGTTCCAGTCAGGGCATTTTGAATACTGTCCCAAAGTCCCTATCCCCTGTCTTTTAAATTTATTTAACATTTTATTGCAGTTTGGGTGAAGGCTTACAGAGCAATTAGTTTTACATTCAACAATGTCTACACGCTTTGTTTCATGACATTACTTGCAGTCTCCTGGATGTAATAGCTCTATTCCTGCTTCCGAACTTTGTTTGTAATCAGATGTTGCCCTTTTGCTCTCATAGTTGATTGTTCTGAGGAGCACATTCATTAAGTGTTATTGTTTTCATTTTATAGTCTGTCTTTTGTTTGGCTAAAAGATAATCTATGGTAGGAGGTCCAGTTCCAGGTTTAAAGGGTGTCTAAGATCCATAGTCTAAGTGGGTCCACTAGTCTCTATGTTGTTCTGTATTTTTATAAGGTCCCACTCCGTCTAGAACCTTCTATTGTGATCTTGATTAAAGTGGTCTATAGTCATAGCTGGGCATCAAATAGTTCCTCTGGTCTCAGACTATTGGAGTCTGTAGTCTGTGTGATCCATTAATCCTTTGAACTAATAATTTCTTTGAGTCTTTGATTTTCTTCACTGTTCTTTGCTCTGGATAGGAAGAGACTAATAATTGTATCTTAGATGGTCATTTGAAAGTTTTTAAGACCCCCTCACTACTTACCAAAATATGTGAAACAATGCCTTTATGGACTATGTTTTGCCAATTAATCTAGATGTCTCCTGAGACTATGGTCTTAAGCCCTCTAGCCCAGTGACTTAGTCTCTCAAAGTGCTTGTTATGGCTAAGAAGTTTGTATAACTTTGTTTCCTATATATTCTATTATATGCTATTGTTATTAAGTGCTTTCAAATGAGGTCCAACTCATAGTAACCTGGTAAAGTGTTTCCAAGTTAACCCATCCACATACAGCTGCTAATCTTTGACAAAGGGCCAAAGTACATTGAATGAGAAGGAGATAGTCTCTTCAACTGAAGGTGCTGGCAGAACTGGAAATTGATATGCACAAGATTGAAACAAGACCTTTATCTTATACCATTTATAAAAAGCAACACAACATGGATTAGAAACTTAAATATGAATCCTAGAATTATAAAGGTAATCAATGAAAAAGTAGGGACAAATTTAAGGGCTGTAATACAGAGTACACATAGACTATCAAACATTGTGAGAATTGCACAAACAAAGACACAATAGATGATTGGGACATACTAAAATTTAGAAACTTATGTGAATCAAAAGATTTCACCAAAAGAGTAAAAAGGGAACCCACAGAATCAGAAGAAATCTTACAAGGGGCTACTACTATATTTTAGAAATCTAAAATCTATAGGCTACTACAATGCCTATACAAAAAGAAGACAAATAGCCCAATTGAAAAATGGGCACAGGATATGAACAGACACTTCAACAAGGAAGACATACAATTAGCCAACAAATATATGAAGAAATGTTCATGATCATTAGCCATTAGAGAGACACAAATCAAAACAACAATGAGATATCATCTCACACCAAAAATAACAGCAAAGAAGACAATAAATGCTGGGGAGGATATAGAGAGACTGGGACCCTCCTACATTGCAGGTGAGAATGTAAAATGTTTCAACCACTCTGGAAAATGGTATGGTGCTTCCTCAGAAAGATGAAAATAGAAACACCTTATGATCCAGCAGTTCCTCTACTTCATATATATCCACAAGAAATATGATCCAGAACATTAGTAGATATATCCACACCATTGTTTATCACAGCACTATTCACAATAGCAAAAAGATGGAGGCAGCCTAAGTGCCCATCAATGGTAGAATGGATAAATACACTGTGGTACATACACACAATGGAATATTATGCTACCTTGAAGAATAACAATGAAGCTGCAAATCACCACATAATATGGATGAACCTTGAGGACATTATGTTGAATGAAATTAGTTAGTCACAAAAGGACAAATGTTGCATACGCCCATTATTAAAAATGCTTAAAAGATATCCTTACTTAAATAATTTTTTTTTTTAAGTGTTTACAAGACTGTAAATTATTGTGGGAGGAGTGTCTTTCTCCTGTGGAATGATTGTGGACTGGAACCACTGACCTTGTGGTTCACAGTCCAGTGCTTATCCTTTAGAGCCACCACATTCCCATATTCTGTTATATTCCTGGTGATATTTGTAGCACTTACAAATACATGCATAGAAATATCCTTTGCTAAGCCTATATATGCTTGTGGGTGTACTCCCATACACCATCCCACTAAAACTTAATAAGCTTATGTATCTCTGTATCCACTCATGAATGATTGTTCATTATTACTGTTATTGTAAGGTCATGTGTGTAATAGTATTTACCATTGTTGCCTTTTGCTCGGCATGCCTCCAGTGTCTTCCTTTACCTTGGTCATGTTGTGCTAATCTCTTCCCCTTATTTTATATTCCCTTTCCCTTCACCAAAGTTAATACTTGTCTGCTGTCTAGTTAGTGACGTTCCCTCCCTCTGCCTTCTCTCCCTGGTAACCATCAAAGAATGTTTCTTTTTTCTTTTTTCCTTTGCCTTGATAATTTTTTTGCTGACCTCTCCCTTGTGTGCTTGGCCTTTCTCTTAACACAAGTAAACACATGTCTATCATTAACCTGTTTTTTCCCTCTCTCCCCCATCCCCCATTCCTAGTGACTGTTTCTTTCCATGGGTAAAACTTTTCTTGACTTATAAGGAGCTCATATAAGTAGTGGTTACAAGTTGGGCTGCTAATCTCACAGTCGGCAATCTGAAACTACCAACTGTTCTGTAGGAGAAAGTTGAGACTTTCTACTCCTATAATGATTTGCAGCCACGGAAACCCTATACAGCGTCGCTATGAGTTGGACTGACTCCATGGCACATCACCACCACTACCA